GTTTCACCATTCGTAGCACTATATTACAACTCGTCAAAGAGACTTGTCAAACAACTTCTATAATACAATACTATTTGTTCATGAATATTTTGCACTTTTGACGTGTTATGCTTTATATGGGATGTATTCACCCTATTTCGTTTAAGGTGATGAAGAATTGGGAGTTGAATTATCTCACAATAATACAAATTGAGCTGACGTCTTCATTAAATTTCAAATACCCATGCTTTCCCAAAAGGTGTTCATATCCAGGCAGAAGTGGAATAAAGTTTCTACCTTGCATAGGTCTTATCAACACCCCCACCGGGAGTCAATTCATGACAGGCAGTGTGTAGTCTCGAGACGTTAGTCACAACATCATTGTGTCATGAGTGTCTTTGGGTCACAGGGAAGATGTACATTTCAAGCAAGGCTAGACATTTTTCCATATAACATTATGTGGTGAGCTTGTCGATGAAGCAAACTTACATTTTCTATAGTAATCAACGACATTACTTCTATTTCGTTTCAAACCTTAAACAAAATAGGGTGAACACAACTAATATATCTGATTTACTTGTAGTCTCGAAAACCTACTCACTTACCAAAAAAGTAATGTCGCCGATTGCTATAGCAAAAATAAATATGCCTTATCGACAATCTCAAAACAGAATTTGATATGGAAAATGCCTCACCTTGCTTGGAATTCACATCTACCCCGTTACCCATGGGCCCTCGTGACAAAGTTACGTTGTAGTTAGGGTTAGGAATTACACATTGCCATGTGATTTTTAGACTCCCGCTGGGGATGTTGATAAGACCTAGGCTAGTATCAAATTCATTTCACTTCTATCTGGATGAGAACACATTTGGGGAAAGCAAGGCTATATGAAATTCAATGGAAACGTCAGCTCTGCTCATTTCAATGTGGAAAAACTCAAGTTCTAATCCTTCATCACCTTAAATGAAATAGGGTGAGGATAACCTATATATCTGATTTACTGGTAGTCTCAAAAACCTACTCAAAACGAAATAAAAATAACAATAAACTAAGAAAATTAGGCTGAAGTATTTGTTGAAGATATCAAGACCAAGATGGTATTGCTTTTTTATTGGTCGCAGTCTACTTTCGTTGCCTGCATTGATTAGGTTACATGTAGAACCATAAAATTTATGGGTTGGTTATTTGACCTTTTTAAATTGTTGCAAACATTATGGTATCACTCTTCGATTCTGAAATCAAATGACTAAGTGTAATTCGGACATAGTTAATGAAATATTTATAGCGTCTCCACCCAGAAATTAGAGGAAAGTTACGAGAATGAAAAGCGAAATCTATTTAAGAAGTGGGTTGACTTCGTTGTCGCAACTTGGTCTTGTTATTAGGGAGAACTAATAGAACGCACCTAGTCCGAAGTCGTCTTCCATAATAGTTGTCATGATTCCCAGCATCAGACAGTGGACTTGGTACCTCAAACGTTTCGCCGGCATCGTAGTCGGCATCATCAGTGACTTTTGCTATTCTTCGCACCAAGCTACGAACTCGTCAAAGAGACAAGTGAAGTCAATCCCTTGACAAACGTTCTGCCGAAAACGGTAACACTATCACTTCTCTTTCTGTCCTGGACTATCTATCCACTCTTTAGGACATCCTCCTCTCGGTCCAGGATTTCCAGCAGGGCCATTAGCGCATTTATTCAGAGATATTTGTATACATGGATTCTACATCGAAACTTACCAATAATGTCAGTTTCTTCCGGTGCCATGTTTTTGATTTTTTTGAGAAAATTCAGGTCTGCTGTCAGTCAACAAGCTCTAGTCTCTACTACCAAGTCTATGACTTCCTATGCTATAACAATCTCCTACATTACTTATTTTTACTATATAAGTAGATTTCAGGATTACCAGTAGATATGACATATATTCTGGTAGTCTTGAAACTCTACTTACATAGTAAAAATGTTATGAGATGTATTTACCCTACTCTTATATAAAAATGTTATCTTTCAGCCTGCGATTAATCCTTATTACTTACTTCTTTTATATATTTTTTCCACTTATTCCATTTTAATTTAAAATCATTTACTATTTTTTATGCTAGTTTAAGGGTTCCAATAGCACTTGTGTTTCCTCCTTTCTTGGTTAGGCTTAGAAGTATTTTTTGCATAACATATTTAATTGTGGCTCCTTTGCATCATTTGTTGCTCTTAAGCTTTTGTTTGCTGTATTTAATCAAAAATAAGTTGTGTTTTATACAATGTATTTATATCTTTTGCATCAGCTGTCGTAACGGACTTGATGGTTGTCGCTGGCCCAGCATGAATCCTCGTGTCCTTCTATGTGACTTCACCAACGAGCAAGCCTTTGAATGGATGCGTGAACATGGCACATCAGGAGACAAACGGCCTCCAAAGCATTTTCTCTTTTCCGATTCAGGTTCTTACCTTTCTCTCGGTTTTAGCTTAATCGATTTAAATTTTCTTCTTTATTCCTTCAAGTAGCAGGAAATTAATTATGCTCTATTAATTATATAAATAATATTCTTTATCGAAGGTATGAAGACTAAGATGGTGTGGCCTTTTGTGTGGCTGCAGTTTTCTTTCGTTGTATAGAAATTGTTTGATCTTGTTTTCGCAATTTGGTCTTATTGGTAGGAAGACTTAGAGGAAAGCACCTAGTCCGGAGTCCATTGTATGCATGCTAATTTTCAGAGTAGGATGTATGCGAATGTACCACGTCCACGGTCCTACTCTGGAAATGATCATGTATACAATGGACTCCAGACTAGGTGCGTTCCTCTAAGTCTTCCTACCAATATGGCCAAGTTGCGATTACTCTTTATGATTTAATTTTATTAGAAAGGAATTTTTATCTCTTTATTTTTTTTCTCTAGGGGCTATGAACCAAGGTTTTTTTCTGCATTCTAGTTTTTTGTAGATTAGATTAACTTAATTGTCTTAATTAAAAGAGACTTACATAACTGATTTAAAAATAATTTTATCTTTTTGGTTTTCTGTTATTTTGCTAAAATTTAAATTCCTATTTCTTTAACTGCGTTTATCGCAATCTCTACCTAAACGTCACACTTTTCCTTATTTAATCGGTACTCAAAAGTAATTAAAGTGCCAAACTGGAAAACACAGATCTTCGAGCGAGTTCATGGCACATGAAACTTCTTTTATGTTTTCGGCTGCGAATGCTGTTGCCCACTTCTGAACTAGACTTAAATATTCTTCCGCACTATTTACCCCTTACTTTTTAAAATGTTAATTTTTTTCCTATACAATATTGATTTAAATTACCCCCGTTTTTTTCTTTTAGTAAGTAATAAGACCAAAACTTCCTCACAAAATGGGTTTGCCGATTCTCGGTTTATCGATAAGACAACAACAAATGCATCAGGGCCCCTTCCGGCTCGACGAACATCGGAATCTGCTAGTGCACCTGAGGCGTCTGCTCTTCCTGATTTCGCGATAAGCGAGGAATCCAGCGCGGTCGATAAAACCCCGACTGCCCCACCAACTAGCATTACCGACTCGGAGTCGGCTATTGCGACCTTACCAGAGACGTCAATTGCACCAGCACTGATAACGGCCGCAAATACCACAAATACTACTTATCCTGCGCAGGTGCCTGCTAAACAGACTAGTGGTTCTGCAGGAGCACCATCTTCTCCAGCAAAGCTTTTGGATGAGCTCTTTCGCAAGACGACCACGCTCCCTAGCATATTCTGGCTACCTGTCAGTGAAGAAGAAGCGGTATGCTTGTGCATTTTTAGAGCAGTTATGAAATATTAGGGATCCTTATGATTTTTTTTGCTTTTAGTATTCTGTAATCGGCTATACTTTTGACTGCTAAACCTATGGAGAGTTATTTTCATGCAATGCTTTAATTTTCTTTTTCTTTTAATGCTTGCACTATGTCTCTTAATCTTGCCAAGACCGCCTCTAGATTATGCTATTTCCTTATTCCATGAACTTGAGATAATTTTTTTCCGCTTATTATTTGTTATTTGCTATTTTCGATTTTCTTCTATAAATCTACATAATATAATTTTAAATCATTTTTTGTCTTTTTTAGCTTAATTCGGCCTCAATTATGCCTAAAATTCTTATTTCATCATAATCTGTTTACTAGTATTGTATGAAACAATGCAAACAGAAACAGAGACACAATTAGACCAGCTAGATTTTATACTATTGTGATTACTTTAATTTCATGTAAAAGTTACTACCGAATAGATTTGTAGCTCAATCAGTTGCCTATTTTTCTACATTCGATTGATTTTACTGTGCATTTCTGGTTGGCTTGGTCCTTAAGACATTAAAATTTGATTCCACTTTCTTATCACATGCATCAATAGAGCTTGGTTTCATTTTAGTACTCTTAAACTAGCACTAAGTAAAGGCTCTATCTTTGACAGCAACTAAAAAGCACGGGAAAAAATTGATTGTATAATTTGTTTATTTCCCTATCATGTCACTGTAACTACTTGTCTATCCTAGTGCGTGTGAATGTGCATTTACCTAAATGCGTCAGAGCTATAAATCATTCATAATTCTAAGTAATTTCAACAAAGAAAGATTCATCCTGAACTTACTCCTGCTTCATTTGATGAGATTTACATATATGTAGAATGAATGTGAATGTAGTTACAAATACCCAAGAGTCGGGTAATTGATTTATCCCATGTTTGTAAGTGGTTTACTACTATCTATAACCTTATCTCTATCAGTTAAACATAAGTAATCATATGAATGATATGCAGCCCAAGATGTTTTGGCTTTTTCGTGGTCGTGGTCTCCCTTCATTTTATAAAAATTTCTGAAAATACAAGCTAACTCAAGAATAGCCCTCAATAAATTCGATCAAATCGGCACCTATGGAATAAGTAAAAATAAACCGGTTAGAAATTTTGGTAGTGGAGTTGGCGATACGATGATATTAAATAGGTAAATGTACAAGGATTGATGCTGATACCTCAACTGTCCAACGGAACGTTGACCAAGAGATGGAATTCACTTGCCACTTAGACGAGTTGTAGTTCGATGCTTGAACTGACGAGGCTCATCTACGATGCTGGCGAACGTATCAAGTTAATAGTGTGACGTTGGACTACAATGGCAGATGACTTCGGACAAGGTGTGTTCACTTAGGTCTCTATGGCAATACAAACAACTTGCGAAACGGGGTCAAAGTGCTTCCATAAGTAGTTCGAGCTAAAACTCCTTTCATCCAACCTATTATATGATATTTGAAGTTCGATGGACTCTTTCAGTCACACTTTTATATTGCTCACATTCTTTGAGCCGATGTGTTTGGTACACTTCTATTTCACGTTTGGTTTCTTTCGCCTGCTTAACCTTTTCTCACAGTTGAATTTAAGCGCCTTTATAAGCATTTTTGTTTTCCCTTAAATTAATGGAATCTATTTCGCTATTCACCAAAAGTTGGCTGAACACAAAAAGGCCTACTAAGGCCCGTGGGCCTAACGGTCATATGCTACTGAGCACATTTTAGAAACTGAACAGGCGATAGATTGTTTCTAAGTATATCGACTTGATGATGGCATGTCTGGTACCAACCAAATGAAGAAGAAGGCTATTGCAATCACCAGACTATGTCATACGTTATATTTAAGGAAGTATGTTTAGGATCAGAATCGGAAAACCTTGTGAGAGGCATAGCTAATTAAAATTCAATGACATCCTGATGAGTTCTCAACTATTCCTCCTAAATCCTAGGATGCTTAGAAGTAAGCTGACCTCGTTTTGCAACTTGATCGTGTTATCAGGCGGACCTTGTTTGACGTACTTTGTCCGAGGTCCTCTGCTCTTTTAGCTGTGATAATTCCCAGCGTTGGACTGTGGACTTGTGAATTATCATAATTGCAACAACAGGGGACTTCACACAAGGTCTTCATACATAGAATGCGTTGTGTATTTCTTATATACGCTTATTTGCATATTAAATTATAACTCTATTATGTCTATATATCTCTATCTACACGGTCTTGAATTTTGGCGGGGTTCTAAGAGACGAAAACTATATTACACTATATATTCCTCAAATTCGTTTTCGAACATTTGATTTTTAACGTAACTCCCTGTCTTCAAAACGCCTTACTTTTGCCATAAGATAATTGCCAATAGAATTTTCAAATGACTTCATGGACAAACAGGGGTCTGTATTGCTTAGTTGAGATTACCAATTGAGACTGCAGACACTACTTAGAATACTGATTTTCCTAACGTTTCTACCTTTGTTCTCTCTTCGTATAGAAGCCCATATTCTGCATTTTATTCACTTTATCTTTTACCTATTGCTTTTAGACTCTTGCTAAGGAACGCCTGCTTGTGCTACCTCGAAAACGCACTCAGACATTCGATAGGCAGCGCAGCAATCGCAGTCCCTTTACAGAGCACTCTTCTGTTCCCCATGGATCAGCTCAAACGACCCACTCTGCATCTTTGTGTCCCACCCAACTTTTGGCTCCTGTAGCAATAGCGAATGTTCATCGCCCATCCTCTATTCGCACTGGAGATGCTGATAAAGCGGTTGCATCGTCAACCGACACTCTAACTACGAATACTGTCTCTGGTCGTGGTGATGGAATCGGTAGTGCACCCGGCCGACTTCCTACTTCCTCTAGAGCTTCGGACACAGTGCTAACCCAGACTGACGTCAACAAGCCACCAGTTGCTCCTGATGGTCAATCAAAGCTAGTTTCCGCAAAGCAAACTACTTCGCTTTCGATAAAAGGGGGCTCTGGCCGTTCAGACTCTTTGAAGCTTTTAAGCGAGAAGGCGAAGTCTAATAAGAGGAGCAGTGTGGAGCAAACTCGACCTACAGATCCGACAGTCGCGCACTCTGCAAAATCGTATCGAGTAACTCCTCATAACGGTGAATCGACTTCCCGAAATACCTCACATCGCGAAGACCGCCGCACTGGCTCACCTGCTTCTAAGAGAATTCGCCTAGGGAAATAAATCTGCCTGCCGGATCATGCATTATATCCCATGTTGACAATTATTTTTATTAGCTTATTCTCTCTTTCTGACTATTGTCTCTTCTCAGGCTTATCTTCATTCCTTTTCCTAATAAGTCACAACTTGTCTTGATCTATTCTTCAGCTTGTCTCGGCCTAAGAGTCTTAATCGAGTTGATTGAATTTCCGAGTGAAATTGCTTTTTTTCTGAGAATTATATGTGCATGTCTCCATTTTCCTTAGGCCTCTTAAGTTGCTGAGACACTTGCTGCAGTCGCCTCTGTCGGACTATCATTTAAGGTTCTTCACTTAAATTTTTTTCTCACTTCCTCACAGGTTGTGTATATAATTTTTTAGCAGAAGCAGCACCATATCCTATTTTTAGTAGAAATTACTCCGATACTTATCTTTTCAATATTCTTGTCAAACTTTATTTAAAGTGCTAGGCTTCTTTTTCTTACCTTATCTTTATGAATATACTACTTACAGGATGGAAAACGTTGCTTCCTGATTGCCACTCTAGCTAATCTTTAGCATTCTCATTTTTTCCTTCAATGTCACACAGAGTCTTAACTTCACTCATTTTTGACTCGCATTTCTGATGTTTTCTACTGATTCCATACATATTATTATCATCATTATATGTTAAACTCATTAGTTTTTCCTTCATTTTTATTGGGATTTTAATCTTGTTCCCTCTTTACTATAATAACAATGGTGTTCTTCATGGAAGCTTTTTTTTCTTGCGTTCGCTATACTACATTGATTGGCAACCCTGGTATAAATTAAATCCTTTTAACACTAGCGATAAGATCTTTTATAATAGGCTTGCACAAAGTATTCATAAAATCAATTTCAGAGATGAATAACTTCCTCTCTTCTACTTCATTTCATTAATATTACTATATCTTGGATATTAGGCTATTTTTTTAGTAAGCAAATTAGCTCAAATAAAGTCACTGTCAGACTTTTGAGGAGGGTTGCTTTTATGAATTCCTTTCCTCCGTCGTCATTTTATAAATTCGAGGCTAAGTTAGGCAATTGTTGGGCTCAAATCTATTTCAAGTAAAAATGCTTAACGGGATTTTTAGGTCTATCTTGCCAGAATTCGTCCGGTTCCTCTTCGCCGGCTGTCACTATCGTGAAAATATGTTTGGGTTATAAAGTTAAGACACTTCCATTTTTTCTCATGACGCATTATTGCGAAATACGATTCATACTAATTAATCAAGCTTATTAAACAAGAAAGTACTCAGGGTGATATACTCTAAATTTAGGAGTCATGTCAATGCCATATAGAAATTTACATTCAGCTGCGTATAGATGGCTCTATCTCCTAATATGGCTTCGTCTGCAGGTGCAGGAATTAAATCCATTATGATAATTGATTGGAACAGCATGAAATTAGACTAGGTCCTACTACCAATATGACCAAGTTACGAAAACAAGGTCAAACAACCTCTATACAACGAAAGAAGACTGCGTCC